GTAGCTTGATTTCTTGCTTTTCAGTTCTGTTAAAATGTTATTGTACGTTGGAGGCAATAAAAGCAAATAGCTAGAGAAAGTAAGATAGGCATTTCTTGATGATTGACAGACATAGCCTTTTCTGTTTCTTTAAACATTTTCAGATCCTCTTGTTGTCCAAATGCTGGTAATTCATGTGTTAATAAAAACCAGAGAAGCACAAAACCAGACTTAGAAGCAGGACATGAAATCTAAACAAATATATACAGTATAAGATTTTGTCCAGTGTTCTAAGGCGGATGTGTGTGATTTATTGTGATGCGGGCCTTTAAATATAAAATCAAGTTTGCAGAAGTAGTTAGCAAAGGTCGTTCTTCTAAAACTAGTTAGCTGGTTGCTGCTTCATGAGGTTGGAGGTTCGTGGTGGCAGCAATGGCTTCTGGTAGTATATAGTACATGGTTATATAGATCTCTGGTTAATCCACCCTTGTGGGCAGAAGAGCTAAAATTAGCTGCCAAATGGATATGTTTATCATTCAAGCTGCAATGACTACTCAGAGAAATCCCCACAGGTCTGAAAACAATAATAATCAAAATTGTATTTCCTTAGCCTTGGATCCTGAAGTATCTTTTACACGTAATGGAATCAAATGAACCAAATCTAAAATATGCTTTGTTTGTATGCCATATGGTCGTCATCTTGCCAAGCACACTTTTTGCCTTCCAGAGCAGAATACTGTGTTCTCCCTTCCTCAAATCATGCCCTTCGAGCCAACCAGAAAAACTACCACTTGACCCCAGTAGTCCTATGTGCATCATTCCTTTTCTCTCTTCATCCCCAAAATATGTTCTCAGTGCTTAAAAAAACCTCAGAAAAACAGAAAAGTAAACTAAAAATCTTTCATTGTGCTACTGCATTAGAGAGCCTTTTGAATTTAATCAGGACTGTATGTATACAGGACATTGCCCCCTTTCTATCAGCTGCCGAAAAGCATACGTACTCTTTGGAGGGCCTTAAAATGCAAAGATGATCAGATCTTAGTAGGGGTTGGGGGGGTGTTAAGCAGGTATCTAGGTTGCTCATGGTTTTTAGGACAGCTGCTGTACCTCGTGTGGTGCGTGCATAGCCCACTCAGAGAGCTCTCCTGGGGCCTCAGGTACTGTGTGACCCTCATACGCATATTTTTATCGCGAGCCTATTTCCTGTCCCATAGCACTATGCACCTGTATATTGTTATGCCATGTGTCCTTAGGTGTTAAGTAACCTGTGTGCCTTTTGAAATAGCTAATGATAAATAATAAGATTTCTCTCATGATAGCGTTTGGACTTTTTCATTCTCTTGCTTGTTACAAAACATGTAGGCTGATAATTTTCATGAGAATCACAAGAGGAAAGTTCTAACCAACCCTGGAAATGCATAGGATCACTTTAGAGCTGAGTAAACACTTTATCGCAGCCCATGTTAACAGGGACTTCTAAAAAGCCTGTTGTTTCAGTAAGTTTGGTTTTTATCACTTCTCTGTGCTGTCCTCCCTCTTGGCAGTCTCTGCTGGATTTCGGTAGGTGATCCCTTTTGAGGGCTGGTGGTGTTGCTTTGCTTGGGTCAACACCAATGACCTACTGGGAGGGGAAGTGAGGAGAGAGGAGGAAAATCAGCAACGGGACAAGGCTCTCCCAAAATCGGTCACTTTTGCCCATAGTGTTGCGTTGCATCAGTCCTAGTGCGAAGGGTGTATAATTTAAGCCTTCAATTTCATACTGTTTCTAATTCTGTACCAGCCTGAATTGTAACTGTCGAAAGTGCAGATCTGTTTATATCTTTATGTTCAATTACATAATTATTAATGTATGGTTTTTAAAGCCTTTTGTGCCTTTTTCCCCCTTGAAGTTAGGCTGTGGATGAAGCTATCTGGTTTATTGTCTAGTCTCATAATTACTAAGTGGACATAGTGTCTCCAAAATTACGATTCAGTCTTATGATTTTATTATGGGTTGCTGCCAGAAACATCTGGAGAGTGCTTAGAGCTTTTGTGTGTTGCAGCATTTCATGTATACAGTTTTATTGGTTCCTTATATTTTGTCCCTTTCCTTTTGCATTTTCATATGGCAAGAAGAGCTAATAAAGGGTTTTTTGTTTTGTTGTTTTCCCCAAAGTCCAGTGAGCTGATTTCAGATAAAGCTCTTGAGACTCTCTGGAATTTTCTTATTTGTTTGATCTGAAGTTGACAATATTCTGTTGATATGTCCAAAAAATGCATCTTCTCTAGATGGGTCAGTATTATCTCTTTCTGCTCGTAGGCAAATTAATAAAACAAATTTAAAAAGTGCAAAGGAAAGCAGGCGGCTGGCTGATTCAAAGGGAGAGGCTATGTTTTTCATCACCACCCTTTCAAAGCCTCTTTGAATCAAAAGAACCATTGGATTGCGAAGGCAAGACCTGTGCCACACCAGAAGCTCCCAGTTCAGCAATTTTCCCAGGGTAAAATTATAACTCATGTTTCCTCAGCACAGGCTGTAACTGGCAGCGTTCCTTCTGCTTCTAAGAGTGAAATTGCTGGGGGGAGAACAGACATCTAATGCACCTCTGGAAGTTTTACAGTGGGTGTTAGCCTCACTTTGTGAAGAGGTAGACGTTCTTCTGGAACATACCCAAGGGCAGGTGCTATTCAAACTGTAGTGTAAATTAACTTTAAATGAGATAGTATGAGCTTATTTTTTGTGCCGTTTGAGTCAAACGTTAAAAAGTCAATTTCTCAAATTCTGACAGTTAGTGACAGTCCATCCCACTGAAGTCTGCAATTTTTTCTGGGTCCCTAGAATCTTCAGATATGAGTGCAATTCATGATGTTAATCTTCATTCATGCCCTGATAAAATCTTAACTTGCAAAGACAACAGATTTTAGCAATGTTTGGGGTTTTTTGGTGTAGCTTCTCATCATAAGATTATAGGACAAATTGCAAACTCCATACAAGAATGTAATTGGTGTTTTTCTCCTGCCTTAGATTTTGATATCATCTTTAAGGAGTTGTTTAGCTTTGCATTCAAATGTACCAGCATGGTTCTGGCAAACAGAAGTTTTTTCCTTTTTAAATTCGGAAGGGAGTGTTTTTCCTCAGCTTTTCTTGTGTAAATACTCTTAAATACGAACAGCGTGCCTGCTAAAAGTGGATAAAAAGCAATAATTTGAATAATTAGAGTAAGACCTCTGACAAAAACTATGATATTATTAATGCAACCACCTTAAACTACAGGGCATCCAGCTTCAGTGGTGGAAGATGGATTCCTGTGTCCAGACCTCCCCTACCCCTTCCCTCATCTGTTCCCAGCCTCTGCACCATGTATCTGCAGCTGGGATTGGTGTGGTGGTGTGTGCTGGTTTTCACAGGTGCGGGGGAAGGCTGGGTGATCCCTTTTGCCCTCCAGCACCTGCTCCAGAGGCAGCAACAGCAGCAGAAGCCCTTGGCTGCTCTGGTTGGGGCCATTCCCAGGACCTGGAGGAAATGTTGTCTTAAGCCGCTGCCCAAGCAGCTGCTGCTTTTTAAGGAAGAGGAATAGAGTCTGGATGAAGTCCCAGGGTATGTAGATATGTGGCTTGCAAGTACTTTTGCAGATGACACCTGTTACAGCAGGAATGAAGTGGTCCAAGATGTTTGAATTGGTGCTGCTGCTGTTTACCAGAAGGAAAGCAGGGGAGAACTGGTCTGTCGTCGCTATCCTTTGCCAAAAGGTGACACTTTCTTTGTGTGCTTGCTTTCATATGAAGTACAGGTAAATTCATGCTGTCTCTATTTCCTGAGGTCTGATAGAGGCAAGAGAAGAGGAGTGACCTATTTTTCAGCTTTAAAGGAAAGTAAATGAAACTGTCCTCGGGGCAGCAGAAATAGACTTTTGTATCAGCTGTAGTGTTGTGGGCAGGGCTGCCAGGCTCTTAAGAGCTCTTTGGGCCTTGCAGTGTCTTTCCCAGGGACTACTCATCTTGTTAACTGTTTTATTAAAAAATAAAAAATAAAAATAAATAAAAAGAGGGCTCCAAGATTACCGGAAACTTCATTGAGGTTGAGGGATCTGTTGGCAGCTATGGACTTGTAATAGTTTGTGCCATATCTGGTAGCGTCTGTTTGTCTGTGAGGATAAAGGCTTTGTGCTTCTTGAAATATTTTTGGGCTTGGCCTGTGTGGTTAGGGAAAGCTCAGGCTGAGGAATTTATCTTCCTTTTGGTCACTTCTAAATCAGTTTTATTGTCAGCTGGAGTAGGAGCCTGTGCAGAATAGACAAACTCCTCATGGAACAAACGCCTTGCAGTGACAGGTATCTGGCCTTTCCCTATCATAAAGCACCATGAGAAGCAGCGCAGCAGGTCTGTTGACCTTTGATCTGACGTCCTCGTGCATCAAAATGCTGTGCTCTCCAGCATGGTTATGGGAGGTTTCCAACTGATGCATGCTGGAGAGGTATAACCACCCTGTCATTACACAGTGTCGGGTGGGCAATTGGATGTTGTGTAGCAATTGAGAGCAACTTTCAAATCCGGTTTTGCTTGTAAATTAAATTGCCGCTTTTCCTGAGTAAGAATCAAATCAGAAGCAAGTCTGAAGGCCTTAGAAAGAAGCTTACTCCATTATGAAACTGAAGTATTGGGGGGGGGAGGGGGGAAATCTGGGCTGGATCTCCATGTTATATGTTGATATATATAATCACAGTGAACTGGATAAATACAGAATTTCCTGGCTAGGGTATGGGATTAAGTCCAGCTGCATTTACCACCTACTTGACCAAAGTAAAGAAGGTATATACAGCAAGAAATGGGTAGGCAGTGTGGAAGAAGAGTTTTATTTCAGAAGTGCTGCATGAATGGAATGAATTCAAGAATTTGGGCTGGCCTCAGCTATGCTTAGGTTTACCCAAACAAGTAAGGGCCTTGCTGAGTTACTCTATAAATTCTTACTCTTTATAGAAGATTATCTTGAGGGAGGAGTTAAACTTTTGTTTACAGTTCCAAGGCTTAGGTGAATCTTCAGGAATTTTGTAAACACCTGAAAAGATGGAGAAAGCTTCTGTGAACTTGACTTTTTCTAGATTTTTTGGACTCACCTTTATTACAGTATTGGTATAAGCATAGCTCCTTATTTGACTCCTGCCCTTATCCCTAAATCCTTTTTCTGAAGTTACAGATGTTCTTAAACTCTCAGTGGCCGCTTTCTGCTAAAGTTGTGGTTAGAGCTGTTCTGCTGAAGCTTGAGTTAATGTGCTACAGATTCAGCTACTGTTCACCTGGGGGTTGGTATTTTCAAACCGTCTTCAGCAAGCTCCTGTCCAAGGTCACCTTTAAGTGTCATCAGTCTCCACGTAGGCAGCACTCTCCATCCAGTGTGAATACCTCACTTTCTATGGACTCTTGCCTTGCATTTGGTTCTCTGCATCTGTAGCATTTATTCTAGGTCCTGATCTGCTCTGAAATCCTAGTAAGGTTAGTTATGCTAAGGAAGTGCAACCGCGTCCTCCCTGGCACTTCAAGCGCTGAGCCAGCACACGCACTCAAGATTGCCCAGGTCCCCTGGACAAGGCCGTGAGCAGCCAACATGTTGGATGTGGATGGAGGCACCCCTTTCTGCTGGGGACAGACTCAGTGCTTCACTCTGGGGCCAGCACCTCTGGGGCCAGGAAGAAGGAGCAGTTAAAGCACTAACAGGTAAGTGCTTCAGTCACTGTTGCTATAGCCAGTCCAGTGTGACAAGGTCCATCATTGCCTTTGTAGGCTCAAGTCTGTATTTGGGTGATTGCGTGACATAAAGGCAGGGAAATGCAGTTCTAAAATCCTTCTAGTGCCTTCAGGAAAAGTCTTCAGCTAGTGTTTTGTTTAATTTGTTCTCATTATGGCCTATACCTTACTTGCTAGGTATGATGACCTCTGGGTATCTGTCCCTTTTCTCAGGCAGTCATGTGCCATCCACCTTTCTAAAATATTTTACTGCGTGTATTTCTGCAAATTTACTGAGGGATGCAAACTTGGGAGTGGTGGTGGGAGCGAGCAGTTAGTATAGTAGTCTGTTTTCTGCTGCACTGAGGTGCTTCAACACTTCAAGAAGCATTCCAAACTTCTCAAGCTCTCCGTTGTATTTGACTGCCTTGTATAGAATAACTTGACCTTCCATTAGATGTTGACAGACATTCAAGATGTCAAATAAGGTTTTCCTTCAGATGTCTGAAGTAACGTCTATTACTACTGCTGCATTTCAGGGGAGCTACTATCTCAGCTTACTATGGCGCTAAATTGCATCTGATGGTGTTTTAAGCCTGTTCCTCACACAGCACTCCAACACAATTGTTTTGGAGTTATGCTTAATAAATGTAACTTGTAATGTTCTGAATCAGAATGTTATAGTGCAGCAGGCATACTTTGACTGGGGAAAATGGTGCATTTTTTTTTGTTGTTTTGCAGACCCAGTGGCAACAGTACAGTCCAGCCATCTTGGAGAGCTGCTGGTCATCAGTATGAGTGAAGAAGCAGAAGAAAGGGCATGGATGCACTCATGTGTAGAAACTTTTGGCCAAAGCTAAGGCTTGTTCTTTCCACTTTGGAGAGTGAAGGTGAGAGAGAAGAAAAGGCACTGATGTCGTGCGTGTGCCTTAGGAGAACAAAGTACAGTTCTCGTGTTCCATGTTATTGCTGATGTGAAGCTGTCTTTGAACACCTTGTGGGAGTCCAGGGGCCCAGCGCACCCCGGTGCCTTCACCCTAGTGTCACCTATGGCCTATTTATGGCCATAGCCAGACACAGCTGTGCAAGGAAGCTGCCATTCAGTAGAGGTGCCTGGAGTTGGGTTTTCCATTTCCGACCGGACGAGCGTCTGAGCTTCCTGTATGCATAGCTCTGTATCTCTGTGTGCTTGTTCCACCTTCTAGAAGTGATATTTGTTCTGTACTGATATTATTTACATTGAATAAATGCTTTCTTCAGCCTCTTTGTTGTGGTGACTTTTTGCTGAATCAAAAAAGCAGGGGGGTTACCTATTTAAGCGTTGTGGCAAGAGATGATCAAGATTAAAAAAATCTTTAATGAAATGTTTATTTTGATAGAATGAGTCCTCAAAATGAGGACGCTTTTGCAGGAGTTGAATCTGAGAGAGAGTCATCTTAATGTTCCTGGTTCAGATGAGAGATTTGACCCTGACTTCCCACATCCCCGTGGGTACCCCTAAGCATCAGTCTACTGCCTATTTCAGGGTCAGAATGAATGACTATCCATGAAATTCTAATTGTTTCTACTTGGTACTGAAGAAATAGGGTTTTGTGTCTTAAACTTCTGAAAGTTTTCACCATGTGGGATTTGTTGTCCGTCAAGTGGGTTGCGTAGATCCAGACAAGACTTCTACCTGAGGTTGACGTGAATATCTTGATTGCTGTTGCCACTTGAAGTTGTTCCTAGGCACCAAGCTTTTGTGAAGTGAAACATGCTATTTGTGGCTTTCTGTCATTAAAAAGAAAAAAGATAATGAATACAGATATCGGATGCATTGCAATAAGCTATTGCATGATTGTTCTTTCTGATGTTCAGACTAGGTGAGAGAAGCTTGCCCTCACCTCCCTCAAAAGATCCATGGAAGTATGAAATATGTATCTTGGGGGGTTTTTCCAGCTCTGATAATTGAAGACTGTTAGCTAAGCTGGGCATCTTTGCTGGGCTGCAAACTGTGACAGCAAGCATTCAGTAATCCAAGAATCTGAATACAGAGGCTACAGTGTATTGAAGAACATATACACACTTGCTTGAGCTAGGTTAATTCATGTGGAGCGTGTTGGATATAGTAATCCTAGCTAGTAATGCCTTAGCCTGCAACCTAAAATGATCCTCCCTATCTTGTGAGTCAAGTGGATGTTTTGTACTCCAGTGTCTGTCCTCCAGTGAGTGAGCTCAGTTGTCTTGTAGTGGTATGTATTTGGCAAGGTTTCCGATTTTAAGAAGGGAATTGGCATGACTTTACTCAAGACCACAAAGTGTAAATAACACTTCTGAAACCACTTCTAATTGTAGTAGCCTAACATGAGTGAATACTGGGGGGAGGGAAAGCTTCCTGTCTTCCTGGATGTATACACTTATACACATGTTGTAATAGTTCTTTATGTTCTTCAGATCTCTTGAGTTTCTTCCACTTGCACCAGAATATTGGCATAGTTCCTAGGTTGCTCTTTGGCAAACCAGTTGCATCAGTGTGATTCCCAGACCTACAGATGGTGCATTATTTCAGCCCAGGTGTAAAGCCTTATTCTGTATCAATATTCTTGAACTGAGATGGTGAAGCAGTAGAATAGAAGAAAAGGTGAAGAGAAGAGATCTAAGAGCTTTTCTCTGATTCTCTGTCCCCTTCTCTGTCCCCTTCTTCTGGAAAGACTTTTCAATCCTAAGGATGTCTGTAAATCCCAGGGAGGAGTTTCAGAAATGGCTTCTTTTCCTTCTGTTGAGTTGGCAGAAAGGCTTGCCTGGAGAGGAAAAGGAGAGCAGATTCAAGTATGCTCAGAGAACGTGGGCCTATTGACTCCTTGTTGTTGAAAGACTCCTTCAAATGTCAGCAGGAGAGTGGAAGAGCCCCGAACTTTTTTTCTCCAATAAATAGAGAATTATTCTTCTGTGCTGAATCAAAAATGGTATGTCTCACGAGGGGATAAATATTTTCAAATTAACTTGTCTTTAACCCGCCTAGCATATAGATTAGTAGCACTTGAGTGTCCTGTTTCTGTAATAAAGCCATTTTGGATTTGAAATTGGGACTCATTTTGAAAGGAGGTCAGAAAAAAGTCTTTGAGGACTAATAATAATAAATATTTTACAGGGTATGTTAAGCATTTCAGACAAAAGGAAATGGTGTAAAAACCTATAATTTCCTATTCAGATTTAATTGTTAACAAAGTAAATATTTCAATATTTGTAAAGAAAGGTATCAAGTGAAAAACAGGCTATTAAAACAGATTAGGAAGGTTACTGCACATGCTGTACAGCTGTGCTTTGTGCCTCACTTGTGAATAAACTTGGTGCGGTTCCTGAAGCAGAAAACAATCTCTGTGACCTCCTGTGCAAGAATAGCAGTGTTTGAGCCACATACAACCCCTTTCTACATGCAAGAGACCTATATAAGACCAAACACATTAACACAGGCTTCTGAAGAGTATTTTGATCCTTTTTGCTTTTGATTCTTTAGCTGTTCTAAATAGCTTGTGATCAATAGATTAGATTCTGTTAAACTTAGTTTCTGAGATTCCCTTCTCTGCTCTTGTAGTTGTTTCTAAGGAATTATATTTGTAATCACTGTAGGTTAGTGGAAATTTAATTTTGGTTAATTTGGTTTTGGTGGAATTTCAATTTTGGCCTACTGTTCTGTAAGCCTGTTCACTTCCATACTTGCAGTAACTAATGGAAGGAGTGAATTTCTTGAGAAACGCTGTTATTCCGTCCCACATTATGCCTTCTATAATTGAACTGATAAAACAGTTTGACCTGTTAAACAAGTGTCAAAATAGTCTTAATTCTGTGTCCATTGATGATCTTCTACAGCGATCTTCCATGTTGTGTGTGGTGCAAGCCATGAACACAAGAAACTGTTTTAAGCACCCAGTTCTGAATCCCACTTCTGATTGAATTTCTCTAGGGCAGCTGCAGTAGATACCATTGCCTAATTTTGGAGTGATCTCCAAAACAATAGTGAACGGGTTTTATCCAGGACAAAGTGCTTCGTGAACTAAGGTTTGGGGAAGGTTAGCATTATTGTGTTTAATATCTAAACATTGAGCATATAGGCAGCTTTTCCTGAGGCAAAATAAAGTTGGATAACTTGAAAGGGAGAATGTTGAAAAGGAGGAGGGTGAAGCAAGATAGCAAAGGTTTTATTATAGAGTGCTTTTATTTTGGGGGAGTTTTAGTAGATAAGGCTCTGTATAAATGGCAGCTTTTTTTTTTGCCTTGTGAAATGCCCACAGTTCTTCGACCTATCTTCCTTCCTTGCAATGATATTTATACTGCATGTTTTTCTACCGCTTCATACATCCTGCACTATCATAGCTATGCTGAATGAGGTCTTAGCCTAACTACAATATTAACCCTGCAAATCTGTTCATTTTCTCCTGAGCAGCCTGAGGCAGGATATACAGTAGATGTGTCCAATTGAAAAACTATTACAGACTCCATGGTGCTGCAGTGTGCTAAATTGTAACAGGGTTGTGTTTTTCTGACAAAAAAGGTCCTCATAAGGGAGGTAATGTTGTCTATTTCACACAAGTTATGGAATTTGTGTTTTGTTTTAGTCTCAGCCGCCTTTGTTGATTTAAAATTGTCTGTCTGCTTTTAGGCACTGAAACATGTTCCTTTCCCCACAGGCTGCTTTCCTGTTATTCATCAAATGTGTGGTTTTTTACCCAGTTCATATGTCTTCTTGCAGTCTTACTTTCACTTTTTCAGTTATTGCCTTTTAATTTTTTCTTCATTATCTTACTAAATATCATACTGCAGATCAGTAGCATCTTGGGTGGTGATTGTACCACATAGCATTTATAGCAGACATTAGTTTTGCATAGCGTGTGTACCTTATTTTGCCCGAACTTGTCGTCTTCACGCTGCAGGCACCTCCTCAAGCAATAGTGGTGATTAAGAGTGGTATTTCTGAAAATCTTTATTAACTTGTGCTTATAAAGAAACATGAAAAAATCCCTTGAACCCTCCCTGACATCTCAACTAAGTTTTTTACTTCATCCCCTAAGTTTTTTTATCAATGTTTGACCTAAACTTGCTTTTGTGTATGAAAGAAAATTAGTTAAGTACCTTGTGGTTTATAGATGCCTTTTGTTACGTGTTACTTGGATTTATTGTGCAACATTGGCCTGTAAATCATTTCAGTTAGACACTTACCTGGCTCATGTTGCCTTTGTAGTCTGAATCTTTAACAGCCGTGAAAAATGTATAAATGATGTTTTAAACGCAGAAGGACTTGGTTAATGCGAGCACCGGGTAATTCTCTCGCACAGCTGTGCTCTCTGCCTCTCCGAGGTTTAGCAGCAAGCTCTGCCGAGGTGTTTACAAAGAATCCATTACCTTTCACAGCTAAAAGACCTGTCGAAAGAACAAAGAGAGTTTTGTGGAGAAGTGTATCTGGCTTCTTGCTGCTTTGCTTACCTTTTAAATGTAAAACTTAGCAATTTGCGAGGGCTTTCCGTTCTCAGGGCACCTTTAGAAGATGCCACCATGCGCGGAGCTTTCCTGCAGTAGAACGCGCAGTTGTCTCAAAACCGCTCTCGAATACATTTCTGTTTTAATCCTGAGCTTTGAATACAGCCTGCCTTACTGGCTCCAGCAAATCACTTTGCCGGGCCCCACCCTGCCGCGTGCACAGACTAAGTGTGCGCTGTTTACCAGCGTTCACATCTCTTCCTTTGTGACTAAAAGTTGGTTTAATCAGCAAGCATCTGCTGCTGGGCCACTTTCCGAGCTTACTTTCTTCGGGGAGTCGCTCCGACCTGCCGCCTGTGTGGGGCACACAGGGCCATCTGCCGCTAGATGTATAATTTTTAAATGGAAAATGTCTTTCTCAAAGGCTGTCGATGTCCAGTGTGCTGCAGTACATGAACGGTTGGCTAGTCCAGGTGTTTCTGCTTCTGTTTTCGTGACATGTGAATTGGAAAACCGAGAGAAGAGTGCGCAGAATGGAGGAGTTAAGGGTTCGTATTTCTGTTCTGGCTGCGTAGCAGTGACGGAGGGCTTGGGAAGGAACACAAATTCTGCCTGTGGTTTTAATTAAAGAAAATAGTACTTTTCGTAGTCTTTCTGTCTACAGCTAGTAATATCTTTTTCGGGGTCTTTATCAGCTTTTCAATATGAGAATGAGGGTGGTTTTTTTTTTTTTTTTTTTTTTTTTGGTATGGATTGTCTGTCGTGAGTAGTGTTCAGGAACAACTTGTTTTGTTGAACTTGTTTTCTATTTTGTGGGTTGTATCGTTGCATTTTGCCCTGCTTTACATATTTAAAACATAGCTAGTTGAAAGATTTTAAGCTGGATTGATTTTAAAATTGCCAAATATGTGTCTGCGCTTTAATAAAATTGCAAATCATATGAGACTATGAGACAGTGCTATTAACTCCAGACTGGAGGTTTCTGTGAGGTTATTAAGGAGATCATTAACCCAAGATCTATCTCTTCACAGGACAGTCGGCCCAATATGTCAAGACCTCTGATCACTAGATCCCCTGCATCTCCATTGAACAATCAAGGCATCCCCACTCCAGCACAGCTCACAAAATCCAACGCACCAGTTCACATTGATGTGGGTGGGCACATGTATACCAGCAGCTTGGCCACGCTTACAAAATATCCTGATTCCAGGTAACTTTAACAAGATTGTTCTGCATGTCTTCAGCAACTCCTGTTCTTCAGTTTTGTCCTTGGACATCCTGGGGCTGTCTCAGAATGTTAAATTTAGTTCCTTTTGTTTCAAAATTAAATTAGGTTCCTGTACTGGTAGGAGGTTAGAGACTGACTTTTCTTTCCTTCCTTCACTGCATTTCAGACAAATGACACCTTTACGAATCCCTGTGTTTATGTGCTAAAAGGAAGCCAGTAATGAAGAATACTTTCTTTCTACCACACAGTATTTTATGCCTGGGCACCCATTCTGTGATTTATTACATTCAAAAACTATGTAGATCCTGCATTTAACTCCAAAGGTGGAGGGGGTTGGGGTTTTTCTGGGATGGAGGTGTTTTTGGAGCAATAATTGCTTTCCTGTATTATCAGCATGTAATCTCAGATATATCTGAGATTATAAATATATTTTATATATATGTAATATATATGTATACACACACACTACAGATAGTATAAAATATATACTATCTTTAATGGTGCGGTTGTATGCAACAAAATATAGAACAGTACTGACTTAATGCTTTCTGTAAAAACTGGGGACCTTTTAAAAAATTAGACTCAACTCTCACTGCATGTATCTTCTAGATGAAACACTAGTGATTCTGGCAGGTTATTGGTGTTATGCAGTTAGAAAACTTTTTTTAAAAGAATCTTTACAAAAAAATGCATTCAACACGTAATGAGTGGATATTTCATGGTTGTGATTGCAGATAGACGTGGTAGTGATATTGTAATTCTAAGTGACTTAGCTATCGTTTATTGGACGTTGACTATATCCACAATACTCTTCTTATACCCTGTTCTTCACTGCTTGATCCTATTTTAGAAGGAAAACAGTGCTACCTTCGTGGTCCTTCCGCTCCAGCATTCGGTTAGGGGAGGAAATTAAGATGAAACTCCCCTTTCTTCCTAGTCATTTGTACTCCTTTCTCTCTCCTCTTCAATGCTAGAGCAGAAAAGAAACTCTGCATAGCGTAAGCAGCATAAATCTGTGGGTTCCTGCTGCTTCTTTTACATGTGTCCTTCATCAGAGAGGTGAGACTATGTCTCATTTTCTCCAAAGGACGAGTGGGTTGATGCATGGGGGATTAGTGAGAGAGGAGAGGTCCATTCCATTGGATCCTTGGCTGTAGACACTTACCAGCATTGTGATTCTTAATAGTGCCAGGATCCTTTTTCCTTGCTAATGATTTTGTGAAGGGTTCAAATGATCTTGTCCGCCATAATGAGAATGTTAAGTATTTTAATTCTTGTAATTAGCTGGGAGTTAAAGAAATTAAATCACTCCTTGCTAAGGCTTTAAGAGCATTTTAAAATAGAAGTCTTCCGGTTGTTGCATGTAATATAGTTTGTCCTGGTGGCATCTTATCACTCTATTTGAATCACAGTTAAGTGGTTCACTTTAAGTGCATTTTATTGCAATACGAGCTTCCCTTTTTTTCTTCAAGTGATAGTTTCCTCTATCAATTATCATTCTGTCACATGACTCCTCTCCAGTGTCACCTTTGTCCATTCTTTTGAGCTAGTTTAGTAACAATGATTCATAATTGAAGCATTTATTAGGTGAATTTCTTTTTTCTGGGTAAGATTTTGTTTACATCAGCTCTTTTGTTGTTGGGCGATGGAGGGTAGGGGCAGAAGGCAAGTTTGGGGAGGTTCTAGCATCCCACAGCTCAAACTTTCCTTTCCAAAGAGTACAAAATGCACTTCATGGGATACGTTTTTGTTCTAAGCAAGCGTTTCACTGATATTACTGCCTCTGTAGTATTGCTTAGGTAGTTTTACTTAGGACTATAGTAGTGCTTCTAACAGTAAAAGCTGATGGTGCTAGAGGAAGAGAATGGTAAATGAAAGAATATGAAAGGGAGACATCTGGACACATGGACAGTCTTATGATGACCTCCTCAACGAAGGACAGGCACAGCAAAGTAATAGAAGCATTGCCAAAGCACAGGTCTGCCAGAAGATATTAAAGCAATGTCTGGAAAAACTTGAACTGTTCTTCAAAAACTGAATCTGCCCCTTCTGGGAACTTTTCTTAGGGTCTATTTGTGTTCAGCTACTAGGAGTTTTGATTACTCAGCATTTCTCTGTAGTTAGCGCGCCGGTGGTGTCTGAAATTATAGTAAAATGTCTTCCTGGTGTTGGATACCTTCTTGTAGTGCAGCATAAGAGGCTATTGCTTTTAATACATGCAGCTTCTGTTCCTGTGTTAAATTCACTGGGACAGCATATTACTTTTTAAGTGAAGAAACTAAAAAATCTTTCATACGCGTGTATGGTAGCAGTGGAATTTAAGTTTAATATATTCTACTTTCAATTGGGCTATTGTAATACTTTAAAGTGGAAGCTATGCCTGTAGTGTCAAAGCAAGTTTAATAAATTAAATATTTTAAAGCTCTTCAAATATAATTTAAAAAAAAAAATTCAAACTCTTAAGTTATAGTCGTTCTGTTTCAAGTCATTCTGACATGCGTTTGTGTTTTAATTCTGACAGTAAGTGTCTTTTGAACCCCTTGATGAGAAAATAATTCCAGCTGAGCTGTTAGAACCTGGAATTCCCAGCCACTTCTAGAACTCCAGACTTTTTCTAACCTTAGCAGCTTCAAAAGAGCAGTTACTAAACTAGTTTGATTATCAAGAAAATGGTGTGAGGCAATAAGCTGGCAGTCACGATATTAGAGATTGTTTTTCATCTGTGAGATCTTACCTTTTTTCCACTGTAGTCATTTATATATATGTATATACACACACACATATATAAAATATGTGTGTGTGTATGTGTATGTATTGTAAAGTAAATGCTATCCATTAGTATTTGGTCCTTAATAGACATTGCTCCATAGAGTCTGACCTGGTCAGTGTAGATCTACAGTCTAAGTTTACTGATGCTGGGTTATTCTAATCCAAACTTCCAGTCAGTAGTGCTTGAATGTTTTCTTTTTCTACCAGTATCACATGGGTGAATGAAGTCCAAACTGAAGCAGGGTCTTGCAGAAAACTTTTGGTGAGTTGAAGCTTCCTAAGGTTTACTGTCCTATGAAAAATAAGGTCCTGATTATCGGGCCTGAAAGAGCACTGCTCCAGGGATGAGTCAAAGCATAGGTTGCAGGCTCCAGCATCTAACAGGTTGAGACACGAAAGTAATTAGACTCCTAACTCGTATTACATGTAGTCTAAGGGCCAGAAGCCTAAAATGAACCTTTCATCTGTGGGCCACGTACCAGAGTCGTCTGTCTTTGTGAGATTGAAAGGGTGATATCCAAACCAGCAGCTCTGGAGCTAATGTGACTTGCCTATGTGGAGGAAAGCTATCCTAATAGAGGAGTGTCTGCTTCGGAGCAGGTGTACTCTTCCTCCTCCTTTGGGTTCAGTAGCATCTCATGCCTCTCCATTTTTCCCTTCTTGAACAGTGTGGGAGGAATTGAAGAGGGTACTTTAAAAATGGTTCCATAAATGGTATCAGTAGAGGCTTATGGCCCACTGGGCACATTTTCCATAATTCTGTTATTAGATCCCCAGCACTGGTAAGTGACTTGATTTGTAAAACACCTGCTACCAGGTATCCATCCATTCCTCCAAAGAAAACCTAGGTGAGATTATGTAAGCATCTTGCAACTGGTGCTGTGTCTCTGTTCTTTGCTGTAAGACCACTATTGAGGGCTTTTGCCAAAAGCTTTTGTAATGGCTTTGATTGAAGAACCCAAGGAAGCAGGGCCTACCTGTGTTTTGACCAAAGGCTGAGACAGTGAAATAAACCAACAGACAAACCATTCGTCTAACGGTTTGAGTGTTCCAGGAATTTTACATTCTGAAGCTGAAATAATTCTAAAAAAGAAAACTAATAAAAAGTCAGCGTATAGAATTGGTATGAGCCCAGTTATGTTCCAGACCAGAGAGAACTTGCTAGTTTCACAAGGAAGATCACATGTGATATTAAATCTCATCAACAGGCTTCGTGTTTTCCCAAGCTACCAGTGATACCATACCTCAGACATGATCTCATCCAACTGAATAATACAGTTTGCCAGACTTAAGCTTCATGAAAAAACGATTTGAATTAGTATATCTATACAGAAGACCTAATGTAAAGTCACTCTCCTTAAAGAAATGGTATTTTTCTTTAAATGCCTGAGGAGAGGGCAGGTATCCTTTTGCAGAGATCTCCCCATCAAGACTGTAGACCTTGAATATATCACTCATGTGCAGATTGTTAACTGCTGTTTCTCACGCGTCAACAAAAAGCGTTGCTTGTGCTTGTGTCCGTGTTATGCTTATGTCCATGTCAATGGACCAAACAATGTTATTTCTACTCTATGAGGAGTCTTGTGGCTTTGCAATTTGTTCTATTTTGAAACAGATCATATCCTCCTCTTCTTTACAACTTGTGGTTTACTTTAAGTGACTAGATCTGCATAATATTTGGTGACATAAAGTTTCCTCTCAGAGATTTTGCTTTTTTTGTTATTTTGTTTTTGTGAGTGAAGATTTTCAAAAATATGTCTGCTTGCCACAGTCCAGAACAGACATCGAATGTTTTTTTCCAGAGAAGGAAAGATACAAGTTGAGGGTCTGCTAAAGGGGCCTTTCTTCAGAGAGCTGAGGCAAATGCATGCTTTTCCACCGTTCCTTGTGGTCACCAGAGAGTCTGAGGAAAGTGGGTTGAGGTTTTAGGGTTTATGACTATGAATAGAGTAAGCACGAGTCAGTCAGTTCTTGAACCTACGCAGCCTTTTCTTCTTCTTGCAGCACATTATCATCTTCCAGTAGGATCAATCGCTTGCTTGGAGCCAGCATTTCTACATTTCTCGGGCTTAATGCTGTCTATCTGACATCTACCAAAAGTTATTGTGCACCAGACTAGGGGCACCTCAGCTGACTGGCATAACTAAACAGGAAGATGTTTAACTTTGGTCATATGAACATCAGCTGTCTGATATCTCTGATATCAGCAATAT